CAATATACATATAGTGCTTAATAATATCAAAGGAGTATCTATGTGATGCTTGAGAAAATCAATAAGAGTACGAGCATACTTTAAACTACAGACGCAAGCACACAGAGATAAATGCATTAACATATTATCCCTATTAAGAGAATGAAACAGTTTGAGACGATGGAAAACATAATCTTGTGGTATGTATGACGATTCACGAACACGACTTGTTTGACTAGTAAGAATGAGGCTATCGTATGAGAGTACGTTGGAAATTTCTTAGATGTATTTTTTTTATCGTAATTATAAAAATTGCCTCTTATGTATTTATTTCTATGTGAAAAATATGTAATAAATAATAATACAACAAATTCCTATTTATTTATTTACGCGCCACTGCTGGCCCGTGTAGATCTATTTTTTTCAACCTACACGAAATACGGATCAGATTTCAAATCTACCCGACGACTCTGTGCAAACATCGCAACACAGCTGTTTACCTGTATACATACACGATACAGCTTTCGAGCAATAGAACATACACTCGCACACTGTGAAACCCGGCTCGCAGTACGAATGTGACGCGCTTACGCAATATAGAGCATCCAAAGCATCCCAATAATCTTGTCTTACCTGCCGGACATAGCCTGTTAATTGCCAAGACAGTGTATGGCGACACTTGCGTTCACGTATTGGTGCTTTAAAACGTACAGTACTGTATTACGAGGACCTCGAGGGGTCATCAGTCAAGTTATACGCGTACCAACAGGCTCAGCGCTATCATTCCGGGCACGTTCTCTTCAAAGAATGTCTTCGTTACCAAGGGCTAAGGTAAGATTTCATAATCAATTTCAATAATATTTAGGCGTATTGTTATATACAGTGCGAACTGCGGCTTACTAGGCATATTGTGGTATGTCACTGTGGTTGCTCACGCGGTTGACATGCTTCACGTGCTCACATTAAACTATATATGTGTATTCAGTAGTCAATTGTGATACACCTACAGCTTGTCACTTATGTTAGGCTTAGAAATATTGACTATTTTGTGGCGTGTATGAGAGTGGCGTATAACCGTGCACAATTCAGTTAATTCGTTAGATATGGATAGATTTATATTCACATGTAGTAATATTTGGTACAGAAGCGGCATGTACATCTGACTCTCCACGTCTATTGTGGGAGTTTTGTTTCATATCATAGTATCTCGTATGCCCTAGGATTACATTTGTTAGCACACATTTGCTCGTGTTAAGCTGTCGATAGTTCTCACTCATATTTGAGTTCCAGCAATTTGTACACATCTCACCACTCATTGTACGCATCCCTATCATACGATGTAGACGAATCTCGTCAAGGCGACGCTTCTATCAGCAGAGAACAGCGGTCGAGCATCGCCCAAGCCTGCGTCGAGACCGCCTTCTCGTAACTCCATAGGCCAGGAAGAAATAACTAAACGGGTTACAAACATGGCAAGAAAAGATATAATCATGCCAAAACGTAGGGGTTCCCTGCCGCTTGCCTTTGTACCCGTAGCTTCACCCAGACCCTCACCCACTGTTTCCCCCAGAGCCTCTCCGCGACCCTCACCAAGCGTATCGCCGGTAGGCTCACGCAAGACAGCTCTCAGACGCTTGCTATCATCGACCATGGATACGAAGAAAAATGAATCGAGTAGGTCGAGCTCATCGCTGAGCAACGGTATGTCAAATGTAACAGTAACACATGCTAGCAGAATAGCCATAGTAGTCGTTGCATACACATATAATCGCTATTTATGGTTTTTTTAATATATCGATTCATATATTCATAGATCACAGACATGTACACACACAAAAGTGCACACGTACAAACACACACACACACACATGTGTACCATCACACAAACACACACACAAAAACACACACAAACACACACAAACACACACACCCACAAATATATGTATGTATGAAAAACAATATTTTCGTATATATATATCTAATATTTGCACATATACACACACAACACAAACAACACATCCACACCCATATATATACATACATATATATATATTTTGAAACACACGCACGCACACAAACACACACACACACACACACACACA